GGAATCCTCACCCTACTGTTGTTTTTTTTTTTTTGGGGGGGGGGGAGGGGGGGGGGGGGGGGGGAGGGGGAGGGGGAGGGGGGGGAGGGAGAGAAATCCATCACGATCCACCCATCCATAGATTACATTCATGATTATCCATCTGTCCTTCCCATTCATACATCCATCGATTCCATCCATTCCATCCATTCCATTCATCCATCCACATACATACATACATACATACATGAAATCATGCATGTAACCATACATACATACATACATACATACATACATGAAATCATGCATGTAACCATACATACATACATACATACATACATGAAATCATGCATGTAACCATACATACATACATACATACATACATACATACATACATACATACATACATACATACATACATACATACATGCAGAAGACCACAGGCATTCTATGGATAGACCTCTGGCAAAGAATAGATTGGGGGTAGGGCAGAAGGTTCCCAGGCACTCACTTGGAATTGTAGACACCACCTCTCCCACCTGCAATCGGTCTAACAGCATTCGGGATCACAAAGGTGCCCGCACGAGGTTAAGGATAGACAAATGAAAATATTATACAGCTTGCAACACGTCACCATATGCACGCGCAAAACACCAAAACCCATCAATTTGTCCCATGCATACGCGGGCTAATCATTGGCGATACATGATCTTTCTTCCTCGTCTTTTTTCTGTTCTTTCTGAACTCAACCGACGTGAGGTAACGACCAGGAAAGGAGAAGACAGGAGGCGGAAAAGGGTTGCTTACACTTCATTGACCTCTCACTCAGCCAGACAAGAAGCATCGCCACGCAGCGGCCCATTCCGCGAAAGGGCCCAACTCCCACCCTCAACCGCTCACTCCCTCAGACAGACAAGAAGCGTCCCCATACAAAGTACATCTCTTACGAGGAGTTTCTTTCATATGTCAAGGGCTGGTAAGGTTTTGCGCATTGTATCGAATTAGTGCCAATTTCACCAAAGGCCCAAGCTCCCATCCCCTTCCCCCATCCATGAAATCCCACAGGACTTGCTCCCAATTGGGGCCCAAGGCCCCAAGCTCCCCCCTAATTTGGCAATTGGGCCCAAGGGCCCAAGCTACCCCCCATCTTCTACGACCTCGGTTTCCTCTGACCACACAGGTGTCAATTTGGGCCCAAGCTCCCTCCCAATGGGCCCCAATTGGGCCCAAACTCCCCACAGAGGTGCCAATTGGGAGCAATGGAGAGGTGGTCAGAGGAGACCAAGGTCAAGATAGATGCATGCAAAATAAAGGCACTAGAGGGGGGTCCATATGACACAAGGGCGGGGGATTGACATGGACATGTACTCCTCAAGCAGAGGGGATCTGGACGTGAAGATGCGCATGAGTGGGGGGGGGGGGGGGGGGNCTCTCTCTCTCTCTCTCTCTCTCTCTCTCTCTCTCTCTCTCTCTCTCTCTCTCTCTCTCTCTCTCTCTCTCGCTGGCGCTCTCTTTCCTCACTCTCTCGCTCTGTGGATTTCCTTCCCCAGCGTAGAGTAAGGAGTACTTTGGGGGGCAAGTAAAAAATAAAGGGAACAAAAGAAGAGGGGCAAAAAATGGAAAACGACGGAAATGAGAAAACGAGGGGGTTGGGAAGAGACGAGGAAGAAGACGAACGATTCGGCCACAGGGTCCACCGAGTAACCTGATGATGATAGGGAGACAGAGAGAGAGAGAGAGAGGGGGGGTAGATCTCGCTATTACCCTGGCTATTGCAATAACTGTGGAAACGTGTTTGCTATTCACAAAGGGGTTAAATTTTAACCAGAAAACAAACAAAAAGAATGAGCTGGATTAGGAAAAAGGCCAATTTGTCTCTTCTGCGCTCCCCTCCACCAGCGATTTGATAAGCCTTTTTTTTAATCGATTTTTTCATGCGCGCTTCCCTTTTTTGTTGTTTTTTCTTTTGAGACAAAAATGCCAATTCGATCAGCGCTCTATTAGACAAACATCTCCATCAATTTGATCAGCTTCTGGATTAGCCAAATCTCTCTCTCTTTCTCTCTCTCTCTCTCCTGTCTCTTATACACATCTAGATGTGTATAAGAGACAGTGTACGTACACTTCTCAAGGAGAGCGCGTATGGACATCCACATGTAATGATAATCAATCGATAAGGACTTGGACACACCACACATCAGCAAAGACGAACTGCCACACACTCAAGAAGTAGCAGCTGTGGACGTGCTTGCGGCCAGGTACATCCAGGCTCGTAAACAATGTGTCTGGATATGTGGAATGAATAGGGGCTCGCTCCGCCACTAAGGACATGCAGAAAAGACAAAAAACAATTATGGCGGTGTAATATGTGTGTATCTTTCCATGTTCTAGCTGAAGATTCATTCTCATTTTGCACGTTTAGTGATCTTGGAGCGACGCCCAATGACATCAAAGCAGGCACTGCTAGCGCACTTTGGGAGAAGAAATAGGCCTGTGAATATCTTGATGGGTCTAATGGGGCTCTCTCATTTGGTGCAACAAGTCCAAATCGAAAACAGAGGACCATCTCGAGGGCCCAGAGGGAATAAGCATAAAAATGTGGGAATTGAATAATAATAATAAATATAATTGCGAACAGACGGGAGTTGTATTTCTATCATGTCAGTCTGACAGCTGTTAGTTCTGAGTCCGGATGCACCTGACCACAATCACGTCCACAGGGAAATAATAATAAGGGGCAACTTTTGCGCAGTCACAAATACAGTTTCAAATGCATTCCAGGCATCCCTCGAACATAACACCCCCCCACCGGACCCTAAAGCTAGCTTGTATACATTCAACATTTTCAGCATTTTACCTACCGTCTCCGCCGGAATAGAACGCCCGGTCATTATGGTCGTATCTAGACGGAAAGTTGCCTCAAATACAGCTGTAAGGACCAGGCGTACTATTCGGATGAAGACGGTACACTGCAGGCGTTCTATTCGGATGAATGAAGACTGAAACCGTGACTGCGCCCTTGTTTCCCCTCGTATGATAATTACAAAAAGATGGGAGTTGTATTTCTATCTTGTCAATCCGACATCTGTTATTTCTGAGCGCGAATGCACCTGACCACAATCACGTCCACAGCTAAATAATAATAATTACAAACAGACGGGAGTTGTATTCCTAACAAGTCAGTCTGACAGCTGTTTGTTCTGAGCCCGGATGCACCTGACCGCAATCAAGTCCGGAGTTGTACGCCAACGGACATTCAATGCAATGGCAGTTGGAAGAACAGAACGAGCCAACAAACAATTGTATTTAAAATTGGGGTGTCTGTGTGTGTTGGGGGGGGGAGAGGGGGGGGACAAGAGGGAGTAGGGGAGCAAGGAGGGAGAGGGTTGGACTCTTATTCAATCAGGCACACCATTCGTTACCCTCCCCCCCCTCCCCCCGGGCCCCTTCCCCACACACACAATTGGGGTTGAAGTACGTTAGATCTCCACATATGGGAATAGGCGGGCAGGGGCAGCCAGGCGGGGCGGGGGGGGGGGCAGGCAGGCGGGCGGCTATAGTGGGTTGTGCATGCATTTATTTTTACACCCCATCGAAGGCCAGTCCTGGGTTTTACTTCCAAATAATGGCCTTGCTGCATAACAGGGGCGGAAGTTAGCTCTCATGCTGACTGAGAAGTTTCTTCGTAGGGCATACTCACACCGGTGAGGACATTTTGAAATGAATCTGGACGTAACTCCAGTCAGGAAGCATCCACCGAAGTCCTAAGGCGGTGTATAAATGAGCAGCATACGCCCTTAGTGGGGGGGGGGAATGAGATGAAGCAGCAGGAGCAGGAAGAACTGCCTGACTGAGATCATACTCACACTACGGTCTTCTCTTCAGCCTAATAGAGTACGTGGTCATAATTGTGTATCTAGACTGAAAGTTCCCTGGAATACAGCTACAATGCTCAGCATGTGGGCACGTTATTTATGAATGCCCGCGCATGTATGAGACTGGAAACTTGCCTTCTATTCATTCATTCAGCCATTCATGGAATGGGATGCTCTATTCGTTAGGTAACTAGGCTACCAGACTGGCCCCGGGCAGGTTGCCCGGCACCCGATGGGGTGTGAACCGACAGTCTGTAGAGTTTTCCATCTGGTGTGGGTGAGTGATAGTCTGGTTTGACTTTTGCCACAGGTACCTTGAGGGCAGTGGTTGGTGGTCCCCACCTCCTCAGAGAGGTATCAGTTGTCGGGCAGTCGTTGACGCTTAACCACAACCGGGGTTAAGTTAAGGTGGATTATCACTTACAGTGTAATCAGTTAGGGGATTCTGCAGACTGTGGAAGAGTGTTCAGCCTCCTCCTGATGAGTCGGTGAAACTCCGACGAAACAGTTTGTCACAGCCCCTCGTTTGTTGTCCAAAAAACGAGGGACAACATAGTTTTTTTCCGGGTTTTTTGGATTTAGTTTTTTATGTTTCTACCTATAGTTTCTACCTAAAATTTAGTTTTTTGGATTTAGTTTTTTATGTTTCTACCTATAGTTTTTTGGATTTAGTTTTTTATGTTTCTACCTAAAAGATTTGGCCGGGCCGCCCGGGAAAATAGGGTGACCCGGGCGGCCCGGCTGGTAGCCTACCGGTAGTTTCTACCTATATTGAGATAGACACTTCTAAATATTGTGACCATACCGCGGTACCCAAGATACAGGAGGGTATAACAAGCCTAACCTGCACAGGCTTCCTCTACATGGACGCCACTGCCCTCCATAATGGTACCTCAAAGAGTAGTGCTCTCCTACGGTAGACCAAGCCCTCTATATATATCGTCATACAGAGCTGCCCGGTGAACCGTAGGCAGAAAGGGAGGGAGAAGGAGAAGAGGACAACAAACGAGGGGCTGTGACAAAAACTGTTTCGTCGGAGTTTCACGCGATATATTTATTTATTTTATTTTATTTATTTATTTTTCGAATTTGGTAAAGAAGTCCGATGTGACCCTGAGGGCAAGTTTTAGAATTGTGTGGTTTTATAGGCCTTGGTGGCATTGGTTTTTTTTTGTTTTTTTTTTCCAGGGTTGTGGAATATTAGGACAGCGGTCTAGGGTTGGTTGGCCACTCTGTTCCTAGAAGAATTAATTTCCCAACGCCTGAAGCGCAACTGGGTAATGCGCCCAGACTTTTTTCTGGGTTGATTGTTAAGGGATTCCCGGCCTCATTGTTATTTGAGCATAATGAAAGACTGCAAAAGGCCAAGTTCTTTCCAAAACAAACAAAAAAACAAAAAAGGCCTCATTATTACTTGAGCATAATGAAAGCCTGCAAAAGGGCAAGTTCTTTTCCAATTAAAAAAAAAAAAAAAAAAAAGGCCTCATTGTTATTTGAGCATAATGAAAGCCTGCAAAAGGCCGAGTTCCTAGGCTACCACAGTGGCCCGGGATCAATTGCCCGGCCGGGCCAAAAACATTACAAAAAATAAAAATAAAAAAAATAGTTATAAATTTTATTTTTTATTTTGAATTTGGCGAAGAATTTCGATGTGACCCTGAGGCAAAAGTTGCTCAGTTTATTTTTCTGCATAACATAGTTTTTTTTGTGGATTTTTTTTTTTTTTTTTTTTTTTTT